ACAGCACTTTGCATCTCCTGCGTAGACAGCTTGGTGCCCTCACCCCTGGACCCTTCATCACAGTTCTGAGATCCTACGTACGGCCCCACACGGAGATCGCTAATAAAGTAGAACCACCAGCATTCAAAATTTCAATCCCATGAAAAAATACGAAGACTTGCAAAAAAATCAGTCGTGGGACTGTGGGGAGGGGCGTGCGCCGAAAGGCCTAAACACGTCAATTTATTCACCATGGGCTGTAGCAAGAAGAGGAGTGACCTGGTTATGATCCACAAGATCGTCCATCATGCCAATCACACAAACAAACTAGCGTTGCCTGGGACACAGCCGAGTTCCTATCAGGATAGGATACCAGATAACTAACACCAGGCTCGAGTCTGACATTTTCTCCTTGAGATTTTGCGCTTTATGGGGTGCCCTACCTCGGGATGTTACAGCCTTCTCGGTAGATCCATTCAAGAGTCCGTTAGGTGGTCATGTTATTTCGTATGATTTGCCAAAGATGTACTTTAGGAATTACTAGCCTCAAAAGCCCACCATTACTTACTTTCTACTTACGCTTCACTATCCCCCTGTCGATACGCCTACTTTTCCGATTAACTCTTCTGTAAGAACTACACTCATGCTATCTACCTTTAACGTTCGGGTAATTCCCGTACACCTTTCCCAAATGCCTCCTATTCGGACATCTACACAGACAGGAGCCTCGAAAGATCCCAAATCTACTCAAAATATCTCAGCTCCCCAATCAATGCAAATTCCAATTACAAACCTATGAAAAGATCATACAGCAAACAGTGAGGAGTGAGAGGAGAGGGATACACTAGACCGTGGAAAAGACTCGGGAAGAAGATTTGGATTTCGCCAACGATGACTTGTGTCTAATGTCACACAAACTGGAAGATCTACAGGCGAAAACTAACAAGTTGACAGAAGAGGCAGGGCAGGGTAGTGAAGACGGGACTTCAAGTGAATATAGAGAACACAGAGGTAGAGGTAATGAAGATATTCAACCAACAACAACAGCAACAATAAGCTCCAATCACCATCAACGGGAGAAACTCAAATGAAGTAACCTCCTTCACCTATCTAAGCAGCACTGTTCCAACTACAGATGCAAGCTGAGGATGTCAAAGCCAGCCAGGATGGGAAAAGCAAGAGAGGCGTTCATTAACCTGAAACAGTGTGGAGATCTTCTGCACTGCACTCAGCATGTGGAACAAGGTCGGGATTTTCAACACCAACGTCAGTCAAGTCAGTGCTTCTGTATGGCTCAGAGACTTGGCGGGTCACGAAAGGGATTTCCAATAAACTACAGATATTCGTCAACAACTGCCTACACTGGCTCGCTACTGAAGATCAGACGGTCAGAATGACAAGAAAAAGCAACAAATAACTCCGGCTGGCTGTAAACAAACAAACCAAGAACCTACGGCCAAACAAATATGCGGAAGAAAGTGGAAGTGTAGATGGTTTGGGTATACACTGAAAAGACCATCTGACGATATCACACGCCAGGTCTGACGCGGCCTTCTCAGTGTATGCCCAATCCATCTCGATTTCCACTTTCTTCTGCATATTTGATGAGCGATGGGTTCTTGGTCGGTTCGTTCCTACAGTTGCCTGTTGCTCATTCGTATTATTCTGCCATCCGATCTAAAGTAGCGAACGTAGGCAGTTGCTGATGAATGTCTGTAGTGGCTGGCTTTGACATCCTCAGCTTTGCATCTGTAGTTGGAACAGTGCTGCTTAGATAAGTGAAGGAGGTTACTTCATTTGAGTTTCTCCCGTTGATGGTGATTGGAGCTTATTGTTGCTGTTGTTGTTGGTTGAATATCTTCATTACCTCTACCTCTGTGTTCTCTATATTCACTTGAAGTCCCGTCTTCACTACCCTGCCCTGCCTCTTCTGTCAACTTGTTAGTTTTCGCTGTAGATCTTCCAGTTTGTGTGACATTAGACACAAGTCATCGTTGGCGAAATCCAAATCTTCTTCCCGAGTCTTTTCCACGGTCCAGTGTATCCCCTTCTTCTCACAGCTCCCCACTGCTTGTTGCATGATCCAGTCCACCACAACACAATCGGGAATATCATGGGTGATAGTAGGTGGCAGACTTGTTTCACTCCTGTCTTCACTTCAAAAGCATCACTGAGCTGAGCTTCCCATTGTGAATTACTTGGTTGGTATGTGGCATCTTCACATAGTTGTTGAATGAGGCTGATAAAGGTTCCGGTATTCCGTAGTGTTGAAGCAGTTGCCAAATTACTTCTTGGTCGACGCTGTCAAAGGCCTTCTCAAAGTAGATGCAGTTGAGGTAGACATTTGACTGCCATTCCGTACTCTGTTCTATGATGATGCCTAGTGTAGTGTTGCAATCTGGTCCACACATAATTTTTACTTCCTGAATCCAGACTGCTTGTTCCGGACGTAATTTTGAATCCAGCGCATGTTTTAGTCTCTCCAACATGATGCGGCTTAATATTTTGCTTGCTCTGGGAGGGCAGGAGCGTGATTCATCGGGTAACCCTTATCCCAACCTCTAGGTACCTTCGTTTACTTCCAGACCTTCTGCAATAGTGGTGCGAGCATGTCCGCTATTGTCTCTGTGTCTGTTTTCAGTGCTTCTGGTGGGATTTCACCTGGTCCTGCTGCTTTACCATATTTCACTAGCCTTACAGCGTGGCGTTCAGAACTTCCACTTTTGTTGGAGGATTTATGTTCACTTGTAGTTCTGCGACTGGGCTGCAGAAGGCATTTCTGGACGAAGTGCAGGTGGTGGTCGATTCTAGAGCTTCTTGAAGTGGTCAGCCCATCGTCTCCTTTGTTTCTCTTCTTTGACGATTAGACTTCCTTCATCATCTTTTATTGGTTTCATCTGTGTTGATCTCTTCCCTCCACCCCCACCTCCCCAACCAATAGTAACCTGCCCAAATAATACAATGTTGTCAGGTCTCTCATACCTGCAGCCCGTTCTGCTTCACTTGACAGTGTTTCGTAGAAGTGTCTTTTGTCTTTCCGCACACTCTTCTTCACTTCTTTGTCCAGTGTTTTATACATTGTACTCAGATCCTCTTTTCGCTGTTCATCCTTGCACTGCACTTGTTTGTCTCCTGCTTCATCATCCTCATCTCCCTACTGTATCAGCTTCCATGTGTCCGTCGGGATCCATTCCATTCCTTTTCTTCCTTCTGCTTCCTTCATAATACGATTACGCACCTTTATTTCCACATGGCTTTTAAAAACTTCCAGTGTTCTTACACACAGGTTGCTTCACGGATGTTCCTCGATATCTCCCATTTTATCTTGATGGCTATCGTGAAGATTTCCTTTGTAGTTTCGTCCTTCAGTCTCTGTTCTGGGTGTAAACCTGAACTGTGGTCTATCACCAACTTCCTTGAATTCAAGGCTTTCAACTTCATTTGGAAGGTTTCTTGCACTAGACAATCAGTGATGTGAGCCTACATCTGCTCCTCTTCTTCACCCTGTGTCAAGTAGGCTGCCTCTCCACTTTATTCACACTGAGATAAAGTCGATCTGATTTTTAGTGTGGTGTGTCCTGGTGTCTGGTGAAATCCATGTTGGTCGCTTTGTGGGTACCCTTGTGCTTGAACACACTGCCTAACCCAATCACCAAATCGTTGAATGCACAGAATTCTGAAAACAACCCTCCACTCTCGTTCATCACCTCACCGAGCGCTTCTCAACCCATGGTTAGTTCTCGTCCTGTGTTGTCCACCCCCAGTTTGGCATTCATGTCACCCATTAGAATTTTGATGTCGCCAACTGAAATCTTGTCCACAACTGGTTGAAGTTGTCTGTGGAATTCCTCCTTCTTCTTTTCATCTGCATTATTTGTAGGTGCACAACCTAGCATTTTATGATTGTGACCTTCCTTCCTTTTGAGTTGAACCTTGCTGTCATGATCCTGATGCTGGAGGAGATTGGTTCCCACTGTATAAGAGCCTTCCGTGTTGTTGGGGACATCATGATAGCCACTCCATAACTCAGTGTGCTCGTGGTTGTCGTCTGGGTGACGGTAACGGAGTAGATCATTGATTCTCCAGTTGACAGTTTAGAGAGTCCACTCCCATTCCATCTGCTTTCGCAAATTCCTAACACTTCAATGTCATACCTCCTCATCTACTTTGCAATCTGGGCTACCTTGCTGGGTTTAAACATGGTGTGGACATTCCATATCCCCACGTTTACTTTCGCTCCCATCGAGATTAGGCACATCGGCCAAATGGCTTCCCGAAGGCAGGCTTTCACCAACTGGCGTCATTTCGCCTCCCCGATTCCAGCGAGGAGTAATTTTGTTTTTATTTTTTGTATTTTGTTTGTGCTGTGAAGTTTCTTTAGCGGTTAGATTTGTTTTAGGGGGTAGGGTTGCAAGCTGTATGCTCAGCCTTCCCTGTTTACCAGGGCTTAGGACCGGGTAGTAACTAGTGAACTAGTTAACCAGGCGGGGACAAATAACAACAATAATTAATAACCCATAAAAATCAACCCCACCGGATCTAAAAGCAGGAAACAAAAGAGGTTTCCTTGCCCACAGCAGGATCAGACAAAAAAGGGACCAGTTCACAAGAATTAGACGTGAGAGATCAAAACCCTCGGTTTTCTACCCCGCACTACCAATGTTAGATGGCAGGTTATATATTAGCCACAGCTTCTATCTTCTAAGAGTTGTTGAACTCTGGAATGCTCCCCACTTGGAATTGATGCAAATTATTCCATTCGCGCCTCTTAAAGGCCGGCTTGATACTTACTAGAAATGTGAGTGGGATATACTCAGATCTAACTGATTTCTCAACTTTTAACAGTCATATTTGCTTTCTCTTCACTTGTATACAGGTTAAAAACCCCATGAGCTAGTGACCAACGGATTCATGATGCGGGAGCCAGTTAAGCGAAAGCTTTTTCTGCTCTTTAAATAACCATCTGAGGTATTTGAAGCTTTGGTTTTATAGCACGCTAAATCAAGGTCATTTCCGAAGGACGTCAAAGTCAGCACAAATCAAAGTTACTCAGTCTTCTTTATAACGACACTACCAGGTGTATGAGGTTTCACACAAGTAATTTGGCATATAAATCCATATTGTAAATCTATATGAGGAGCCTTAATTTATCTTTAGGTGACTGTCAATTCGCCCAGGGTTCAAGGGGCTGTCAATACTCTTTTGCCCTGAACCAATACTTCGAGAAAACGTCTCAAAAATGGAGGACAAAACCCCTTGCAGCATTTCACTTAATTTGATACTAGATAAAAAAGAGCTTCAGTCAAAACTTAAGAGTTCAGTGTAAGTTTCTTTGTGCTCAAAATAAGCTTACATTTATTCGCTAATATTTACCTAGACGTTCGTTATCTTTTGATATTGCTTGAAATTTGACTTTAAAACATTTGCAAGTTTTCTGATTCACTGTATCTTCTGCGTTTCTAGGTAAAAATACTTTCAACTCAATGCCTAATTCTTTTAAATGACATTTAAAAGAGTGTATGTAGATTAAAAATGGATGCGAATTGCTGACAAAATAACTAGTCATTTCCAGCAAGCAGCTGTCGATATCACTTTACTACTCTAAAGATACCCATCGTAGTCACTAATAAGATCACATATTTATTTTTTGAAGTATTACCTGTGTGGCATTTATCTATAACTTTCTAATAGTTGTAAATTTTATTGTTGTCATTTTTCCTAAGAGAAATTACAGTTATTTTTCAATTTTTGTGCTAACGAAAAGTAGCTGAGTAAGGCTTAGCTTTGGGACGAGGCAATTCATCTTCTGAATAACATGTTACTACTCGTTACACACTGTTTATGTATTATAACTTACATTGGTGTTAGCGAAGTGCTCGCATATTTACTTCATACAGTTTCTGCCTAAACTAGTTCTTCAAAACCTGTGAGAGTTGGTTGAGTGTCAAGGATAAATAGGGTTTATTTTCGACGTTTTCAATCAGCTTACCAGTATTAAGTACAGCTATATAGAATACTGCTGCATCGTTGAGTTATATTCATCGTTACATTTCTGTAATGTCGAGGTAGTATAGTCAATAAATGAGCAATTGAAGATATTCTTAGACATGTCGAGTAACTGGTATGATAATCTATGGAAGCCTTGAAGTTGTGTTAGCAACTCGAGTGGAATTAACAACAGAATAAATGGATGTACACCGGTCGAAACATTTTAACTTGACACAATTGTGGTTATCTGTGTTCTATTCCTAGTCATGAATTCAATACTTCATGCTGCAAAGCCGTATTTATCAGGCCTTGTAATTCAGGCTGTAATCACAATAAGAATCCCTGTTTCCTAATAATAACCGAAAGAGTTACAAGAAGTAAATGCACCCATATCTAGGTTTTTGTATAGTGGAGGTTTGAGAGATATTAATATTTCGATTATATCGAATGTAGTATGCTAGCGGGGTACCAAATTAACGTTCTGAACTGCGTAAAGACCTAAAGTTAGGAAAAACAGAGTTTGGTCAACAAAAGCTAAGGATAAGCATACCAAAACATTGCGCCAATCCATAAAGTTTCTAACTGTTACCTTGGGCGTTATGGGGAGATGTTGGATGTATGGATAAAATTCCTTTAGATGTCAGGAATCCATCTCTCATGAGTCTTTGCGATATTGTTCACAATCGACTACAGTGTTGCAGATGTACGTTTTTTTATCAGCTTCCAAAATGTGAACATTTTCACTAACATATATGTGCTTGTTTCTTCTCTCATGCTTTTTATTCACTTTAATGAGATTCTTTTCATATCCGCTCGATTTCGGAATCCTTTGATATTTTGAAAACGAGTATGATCCACTTCTGTACCAGTATCTACGTTGATTTTTTGTCTGCCTATTAAAAACAGTTTTTTAACCACAAAAAATGCTGAGACAACAGCTTACTGACCGGTTTTTTGTAACACTTTATCATTCAAGACAAAACTCATTACTCTAATTTTATGCAGAGTGGTTATCGGAAACATCAAGTAAAAGCATATGTCCTTTATTGGGTGTCACTGTTAACATATTTATTCAAAAAAGTCTAGGAGAAACTTTGTTTCCTACTGGTAGCGCAAATGAGTTTCGACTTTTCATAGGGGTAGATAGTGCATAAAATTGTGCTTGTTAAGCTACTGTGAGGGTATAATTGAGGTATCAGGCATTGTCCACGTAATTCACTTTCAATCCCATCCTTTATATTTAGAATTGTGATGCTATCCCAATTTTGAGGCCAGGACAATTCCTTATGTCTCATAGCCCTTGTTCTACAGTTAGTGGTTGGGAATCTACTCAAATGAACCACAGGTGTACAGCTTAGTAGGACTGCATACAGTACTGTAAAACGCTGATTTTGGTGTTCGCTGCGTTAATTAGCATCTTTAATCTAAAATTTATATTGCTATTGTCTTTGTTTCACTCTAAAACACGGCGTTTGGTAGTTTTTTTTAATTTTGAGTTAAAAAAATGGTTGATTCGCTAGGGTTGTCCTCATTTACAATGCCTATTTCAGCTGCGTTAAAAGTATGCATATCATTGAAGTTTATAACTTTCAACGTTCTGACAACGAGAGAGTTAGTTGAAAAATATACCTAATTATGGCGTTGGAAAGTATCGCTCGTTTTTTTTCAATTCATCAGGGATGCTTTTTCGTATTCCTGTTATAGTTTCGTAAACGTAATCATTACCTGATCTTGATGACATTAGTATGCTCAAGTGATTGCAACTCGTCACCTAAGTGTGTAAGAGCTGCTAGTGTTTCGGACTGATTCCGGAATTGATATTTCGATTTATGTAATTGGGAATAAAACGGGGTGGCCTAAAGACTGACTACATTCGTGGTGAGTTTTAGATAAGTGTTAGGTGTTCATGCAAGACTATGGAAGTGGTGACCTGAATATCCTTCAGCTATGGCAAAAATTTCATCCATAAACGGAATTTTCGTGATTTGCTTGCATTTTCCAGTCTTCTCGCATTCTATCCTAACAGAAAGTGTGTACAGTAGGAATCGGTGATTGGAGACCCTTGTTGACATCATAGAAAATTAACCACAGTAACGCAGGTGTATTCACTTCTTGACATCCTGTGAAGTTTAACCATTTTCGAACTCCTTCTCTCCTGCACATCCGTTTACTTTAATATTACTACTATTTTCCTATTCACTTGTTCTTTACCTTCTGTCAACTTGAAACAATACACTTCTTTCTGTGAGAGGTTCTACTTTGGTTTTGTCTGTTTATCTATTTAGTCCTTGTAAATCTCTCGTACAAAAATATTTGCAGAACTTCTGTGAGCCCGACGAAACCTTATGTTTGTACTGCATATTCTATTCGAGAAGAAAAGCTGTGACCAAGAATTTCCCCAGGCTGTTTGTTTTGTACTTTATTTTGAGCACAACTGATGTAGAATATGCGTGTCAAGAAGTGTGTCACAATTATTACAGGCTACATTGGTCCACCAAAGCTATCGACAACAAACGATCGAGCATCAGACCCTTTGTAGAGCAGATTAATAGTATTCAGAATGTTTCCGTCAACTGTATGTACTTCAGGCCAAAAATCGTCTCTTGGTATCGTATAGGCAATCGATTTGTTTGGAAGAGGAGTCAAAAATTGCTTATTTGAGGAGGATACGCTTAAGAAGTCCACTGACACCTTGAAAACAGTGTACATTTGTGCTTCATGCATAATAAAAGTATAGACTTATGCTTCCTAGTTGTGGTATGGGTTGCGGTTATGAAAGCTGTCACATCCCACTCTTTAAAAATGTCTGAAAGATTAATGATAACACCTAAAATCCATATTGTGGCAAAAGTCTATGTACTGCCTTTGAAGTCATACTTAGTGTGTATAGATTTGTGAAACTATCTGGTTGCTTAGGTTGAAATAAACTGAGAAGGATTTTCAGCACTTCACATATTTCTTGAAAGTCGGGTGCCTAGTTCGTACTAGTAATGTTGATCTGCTATCCGAAGTAAGATTTAATTCTGATTATGACGACATGTTGTACTGATTGTTAGTATCTGTAATTTAGCCTGTCTCTGTCTGAGAAGCCATTCGTTTTTACTACATAGGACTAACCTACCGTGTGGCGTACTAACGTATCTGTCATCATTGTTACATGTTTTCAGGAATTGTTGGTTATGTAGACCACTTTTCTGTAAGAAGTAACAGCATTTTTAGTCTGTTAAATTCCTGCTTAAAGATTTCTGTACAAAGCAGTTGAAATAACCTAAAGGGTTATAGAAGTTGTATGATAGACATCTAGTAGTTGGGTTATTCGTTTAAAGTTGGATTTGTTTTGAATTACTTTTGTTTTGCACTGAAATAGTTTGTAATACACTGGTTGTATTGTTATTACATGACGCGTGACCAGTTTTATATCAATATGCACCAGTAATGAATTACTCACTACCCTACCTAAGTGTAAGTTTTGGTCACATCAAACAGGTAAGGATACACGTTGTGGAGTAAAAACGCTAAGAAGAGCAGTATATTTATTAGTCTACAGTCAAAGATTATTTTGGAGAAAAGGTTAAAACTTATTGGCTGTAAAATAGTTGAAAATAGTAACCATGGTGAAGTAAGTATGACTTGAAGCCAAGAAGTTAAGAATGCATAATGCAAATAAGTAAGTGGTTATCAGACAGGAAGGAATTTGAAGATGAACTTCTGGATTAACCATTCATGTAATAATGTAATAGAAAACAAAAGATGAGAAGTGTGTAAGCATTGAAATGTTCACAACTGGGTAGAGAAGCTGCTTGTGAATACACAATTCCAGTTTTGACTTCCTAAGCATCATCAATGCAAAATAGATTGTTCTTCACACATATTAGAAGATTGTACTGTTTTATTTAGATCACTAAAAAAATGAATTTTTTAAAGTATCGCAACCGTCAACTAAATGCTTTACGATAAACTTGTTGTTTTTCTCCTGTTTATTCTTACTGAGCCATGTTAGAAATTGTTGGCTTAAGTGTTAGACATTATTTTTGTGTAGGGCTTGTATGCTTAGCATAGCAGGTGCAAGTGAATCAGTATCAGCTCATCGAAGCGACTAGTGGCATAATTTTGTCCTACCCATATAAGAGATTTGAGGTATATTTGGTTGGATTGTTTTTCTGGCAGGATTCATAAATTTGCTCTATAAAACTTCATATGTATATCCTCATGAATTCGAAACTTAAGTGCGTGTTACTTCTCACACTGAAAAATGCCTTATGCATAAATTTCTGATATAAACGTTAGTGTACAAGAACAAACTCAACTTAAAGTTTGTTTCCTGATAGAAAAAATACTGAAAGTAGTAAATATCTCTTTTATATTATCGTTCAAGATTCTTCTACAATGCACCTCGACGATCATACACTCAGTCAAGCCTGGAATCTCTAGGTCTCCCACTGAGGACATCACCATTTAGCAGCTGCATTAAAATCTAGCGGTTCAAAGTTTTCAACCTCAGTCAGCCCGTAAAATAGTACGGTCGTTATCGAAATGTGTATGAAAATTTAGGATTTGTATTATTTTCCTTATCGATACAGATAGCTTAAAGGATTGTCATCATCATGCCGTGTGTAATATATGGTAGTAAGGAACTGTGGTTCAGCAGTCTAACCGTTGAATTATGTTTTTAAACCCTACTTCGCTTTTTCATACGGGTGACATACCTTACAGTTTTGTATGCTACGTTGTAAGAGCTTGCTGAGCTTGTAGTATGACGCGCATCATTGAGAGAGATCGGTAAGTAGGAAGGATCTAGTCATCTCTGTCTGTTTATCTTGATGTGAATAGTATACAACCAGTTATGTTGTACGCTTTTCGTAGTCATATTTCTGAAAATTACATAGCTACTTTGGTTTCGCTATTTTCTTTTTGTATTACTTCAAATCTAGAGGTATTGGTCATTGGAATGCGTATAGTAGGAGTGAAAAGTATTTATCGGAACAACCAACGAATATGGAAATAGATTCTGCTGAATTAACAAAGCATACAAAATCTGATGATATGTGGATAGCTTTAAATCATCAAGGGAAAAGTAAGATCACATTATAAATGCTCAATTATTTCATATCGTTTTCTGTTGTTTTTTTCTTTGCAATCAAATGATTAATCATCTCGTTATGTTGTTAATCATTTTATGATGGAGTGAAGTTTGGATTGTTTACTTTGAATTGAAATCATCTACATAGCAGGCATGGATTTTGCCATGATAACAGAACTTTATAGACCAGATAAATAGTGATAAGGCTGGCTAATTATAAAGATTTTAACATCATTCTAGATAGCGTCATCAGCAGAAATGTCGAACGGAAGATGGGCCTGCCTATTTACTTCCCAAGTCTGCAGAAATTCTGGTCCCATATAACACGCCTGTATCTGTACTAAATTTTTTCTAACTTCATCTCAAAATATTTGACCTCTCTTGGGTTATGTATTGTGTATACAGCCACTGTCCACTACTTAAAAGTTTTTATTGGTTCCCCAACAGATTTTATGTGGTGATAAAAATCATTTTCATACCAACAAATCGCTGCAAACCACTAACTGAACTGCTGCATATTAGTTAATAGAGTAAATAGGTATCATAATGACTACTGAAATTTGTTTGATGTCAGCGCTAAACGTTTAGAAATTCTTTGATTTGCGTTTTATGCAATATCTGAGAGAACTTGAGCACTGAAAGAGTTGTGAGGGTAGTCGGCACTTCTCGGCCTCCCACTCCGTAGAAGGTGCCTGAAGGGGAAACTAGGTAAGTAATAGTGATGCGTGACTGGGCACCTTAAGAGATATCTGCTTGTGGCTGTTCACGTACTACCTTTTTAGAAGTTATTTGGAATTTATCTCCAAGACCCATACCGTAGGATAGGTGGAAATGGGCTGTTTTTAGGGTCGACCTTTCCAAATCTCCTCACAGGAAAGACAGCATCAGCATGGTACTGCTGGTCGTTTGCAGAAAGCATCCCAGTGACTTCACACCCATACAGCCAGCAGTACGATTTCACCCTCAGACACCCATAATAATGAAGCAATTTATACTACGACGGTAAGTGCTTCTTTTCTTACCAATATCCAATAGAAGTTTCTGGTATGGTAGGACGTTGAGCGCACAAACGTTCCAGCTGGTGTAGCTCGTTAGGTCATCGTGACACAGTAAACATGACCGTCAGATCAAGCTAGCAGTTATCGGTTGGGGTGTACTTTCCTAGTTGGATTTATGTTTGTAGTTGCCCATAATCATTAATATGAAAGATGCAGTTTTGTGATTTAGTAACCAATTCATACTGATGTACGCCAAGATACTACATACTACCTCCAGCATATCACTGCTCATAAATGATATAGTTTTTCTAATAAATGCTGCATTGTTGATTTGGATATTCCCCTTAATCATAGTGAACAGAATAGTGAGAACAGGATTTCCTGAGTAAGATAAATTGATATGTTTTTATTGATTTCCCGTTATCAACTGCATACAACATGACTTATTCATCTTGATTTCTGTAATATAACACATCGAAAGTAATAATTTCTCAAACTATCATTATATATGGTGATTTTTGTTTAGATTTTATAATTGATTGTGTAATAATGAACTCAATAAACATCTTCTGAAAGAGTTGTGTGAATAACTGTTCTTAAAAGTGGCTATGAGACACTTCCCTTTAGTTTTCACTGCGCTAATAGTATTGTTGTGGACGCTAACTATTCGTAATAATATATTCGTACTATTCAGTTTGTTTACCACTGAGCTGTTATTGTTGCAGTTGAACATTTCTTATCGATGTACACTGATCACATGACTATCAGTGTATTCAGTTTTGATGTTTTTTTTTGTCTCTAAAGTCATCTAAAGATTAGAAATGTCTCTATTCGACATTTTGGCATTTTTGGCAATGTTGCTTATTCGTGAGTTAGAACAAGATATATAGGCGAACAATATTGTTTTCAACTAGATCCTCTTCTGGCTTTACTCTAATAAAAATAGCTTAATATTGATAAAATTAAACCAATCATATAGATTTCTTGGTTAATGTATGTGATAAATGTTTTATGATAACAATGGCGATAATTATACAAATAATAATAATGACAAGTGATGACGTTGACTAAAGCACATGGAATGTAGATGATAATGTTGATAAGCTGTTTCGTCCTAGTATGGGACTCCTCAGCAGTGCGCACCAACGACCCCACCAGGGACCGAACCCCTGACCTTCAGGTTCCGCGGCCAGCGCGTTACCATTGAGCCACTCTCCAGTGCTCCCAGGTTTCCTTTGTTCCTCCAACTGATGTCAGTCTACGATGAATAACAACTTGAAATATTTCTAAATCTCCACAACTCCCTCAAAATTTAATGTTGATAAGAACCAAAAAAGTAGCATGAAAATATACACACTCCGATAATGAAAGTGGATCAAAATCTTGAAAAACCAAAGTACGTAATACTGAAGGACGAGGTAAGTGAGTAAACAAAGTCTAGACAAACACAGTAAGTATATGAAAGGGGTGAAGAGTAAGAAAAGGGGTAGGTAGTTATTAACTAGGTATTTCCTGGCCGAGGGAGAGATAACGGATGTACAAATTTCTTCTGGATACAAAAACTAGGATTATAAGCTAGAGTTCCCACAGCTTCTGCTATGTAGTGTAAGAGACGAGTTCGAATACGTTTCGAAAGATGATATGGTATGCGGTGAATAATTGTGAAAGCATTGCTCTTATCTACCAAGTGAACACTATCAACGAAGTGGGATACAACCGAACTTCTGGTGGGTTTTATCTGCCCCTTTCCATATATATATATATATATACGGAAAAGGGCAGATAAAACCCACCAGAAGTTCGGTTATATCCCACCTCGTTGATAGTGTTCACTTGGTAGATAAGAGCAATGCTTTCATAATTATTCACCGCATACCATATCATCTTTCGAAACGTATTCGAACTCGTCTCTTACACTACATAGCAGAAGCTGTGGGAACTCTAGCTTATAATCCTAGTTTTTGTATCCAGAAGAAATTTGTACATCCCTTATCTCTCCCTCGGCCAGGAAATACCTAGTTAATAACTTTATCACTAAGATTTTTTCCTACCCCTTTTCTTACTCTTCACCCCTTTCATATACTTACTGTGTTTGTCTAGACTTTGTTTACTCACTTACCTCGTCCTTCAGTATTACGTACGTTTGGTTTTCAAAGATTTTGATCCACTTTCATTATCGGAGTGTGTATATTTTCATGCTACTTTTTTGGTTCTTATCAACATTAATTTTTGAGGGAGTTGTGGAGATTTAGAAATATTTCAAGATGTTATTCATCGTAGACTGACATCAGTTGGAGGAACAAAGGAAACCTGGGGGTACTGGACAGTAGCTCAATGGTAACGCGCTGGCCGCGGAACCTGAAGGTCACGGGTCCGGGCCTGGCGGGGTCGTGGGTGCGCACTGCTGAGGAGTCCCATACTAGGAAGAAACGGCTTATCAACATTATCATCTACATTCCATGTGCTTTAGTCAACGTCATCATCTCCTGTCATTATTATTAATTGTATAATTATCGCCATTGTTATCATAAAACATTATGCACATACATTAACCAACAAGTCTATATGATTGGTTTCATTGTATCAATATTAAGCTATTTTATTAAGAGTAAAGCGAAGAGAGGATCTAGTTGAAAACAATATTGTTCGCCTATATATCTTGTTCTAACTCACGAATAAGCAACATTGCAAAAATGGCCAAAATGTCGAATAGAGACATTTCTAATCTTTAGATGACTTTAGAGACAAAAAAAAACATCAAAACTGAATACACTGATAGTCATGTGATCAGTGTACATCGATAAGAAATGTTCAACTGCAACAATAACAGCTCAGTGGTAAACAAACTGAATAGTACGAATATATTATTACGAATAGTTAGCGTCCACAACAATACTATTAGCGCAGTGAAAACTAAAGGGAAGTGTCTCATAGCCACTTTTAAGAACAGTTATTCACACAACTCTTTCAGAAGATGTTTATTGAGTTCATTATTACACAATCAATTATAAAATCTAAACAAAAATCACCATATATAATGATAGTTTGAGAAATTATTACTTTCGATGTGTTATATTACAGAAATCAAGATGAATAAGTCATGTTGTATGCAGTTGATAACGGGAAATCAATAAAAACATATCAATTTATCTTACTCAGGAAATCCTGTTCTCACTATTCTGTTCACTATGATTAAGGGGAATATCCAAATCAACAATGCAGCATTTATTAGAAAAACTATATCATTTATGAGCAGTGATATGCTGGAGGTAGTATGTAGTATCTTGGCGTACATCAGTATGAATTGGTTACTAAATCACAAAACTGCATCTTTCATATTAATGATTATGGGCAACTACAAACATAAATCCAACTAGGAAAGTACACCCCAACCGATAACTGCTAGCTTGATCTGACGGTCATGTTTACTGTGTCACGATGACCTAACGAGCTACACCAGCTGGAACGTTTGTGCGCTCAACGTCCTACCATACCAGAAACTTCTATTGGATATTGGTAAGAAAAGAAGTACTTACCGTCGTAGTATAAATTGCTTCATTATTATGGGTGTCTGAGGGTGAAATCGTACTGCTGGCTGTATGGGTGTGAAGTCACTGGGGTGCTTTCTGCAAACGACCAGCAGTACCATGCTGATGCTGTCTTTCCTGTGAGAAGATTTGGAAAGGTCGACCCTAAAAACAGCCCATTTCCACCTATCCTACGGTATGGGTCTTGGAGATAAATTCTAAATAACTTCTAAAAAGGTAGTAGGTGAACAGCCACAAGCAGATATCGCTTAAGGTGCCCAGTCACGCATCACTATTACTTACCTAGTTTCCCCTTCAGGCACCTTCTACGCAGTGGGAGGCCGAGAAGTGCCGACTACCCTCACAACTCTTGCAGTGCTCAAGTTCTCTCAGATAGTGCATAAAACGCAAATCAAAGAATTTCTAAACGTTTAGCGCTGACATCAAACAAATTTTAGTAGTCATTATGATACCTACTTACTCTATTAACTAATATGCAGCAGTTCAGTTAGTGGTTTGCAGCGATTTGTTGGTATGAAAATGATTTTTATCACCACATAAAATCTGTTGGGGAACCAATAAAAACTTTTAAGTAGTGGACAGCGGCTGTATACACAATACATAACACAAGAGAGGTCAAATATTTTGAGATGAAGTTAGAAAAAATTTAGCAGAGATACAGGCGTGTTATATGGGACCAGAATTTCTGCACACTTGGGAAGTAAATAGGCAGGCCCATCTTCCGTTCGACATTTCTGCTGATGACGCTATCTAGAATGATGTTAAAATCTTTATAATTAGCCAGCCTTATCACTATTTATCTGGTCTATGAAGTTCTGTTATCATGACAAAATCCATGCCTGCTATGTAGATGATTTCAATTCAAAGTAAACAATCCAAACTTCACTCCATCATAAAATGATTGACAACATAACGAGATGATTAATCATTTGATTGCAAAGAAAAAAACAACAGAAAACGATATGAAATAATAGAGCATTTATAATATGATCTTACTTTTCCCTTGATGATTTAAAGCTATCCACATATCATCAGATTTTGTATGCTTTGTTAATTCAGCAGAATCTATTTCCATATTCGTTGGTTGTTCCGATAAATACTTTTCACTCCTACTATACGCATTCCAATGACCAATACCTCTAGATTTGAAGTAATACAAAAAGAAAATAGCGAAACCAAAGTAGCTATGTAATTTTCAGAAATATGACTACGAAAGGCGTACAACATAACTGGTTGTATACTATTCACATCAAGATAAACAGACAGAGATGACTAGATCCTTCCTACTTACCGATCTCTCTCAATGATGCGCGTCATACTACAAGCTCAGCAAGCTCTTACAACGTAGCATACAAAACTGTAAGGCATGTCACCCGTATGAAAAAGCGAAGTAGGGTTTAAAAACATAATTCAACGGTTAGACTGCTGAACCACAGTTCCTTACTACCATATATTACACACGGCATGGTGATGACAATCCTTTAAGCTATCTGTATCGATAAGGAAAATAATACAAATCCTAAATTTTCATACACATTTCGATAACGACCGTACTATTTTACGGGCCGAATGAGGTTGAAAACTTTGAACCGCTAGATTTTAATGTAGCTGCTAAATGGTGATGTCCTCAGTGGGAGACCTAGAGATTCCAGGCTTGACTGAGTGTATGATCGTCGAGGTGCATTGTAGAAGAATCTTGAACGATAATATAAAAGAGATATTTACTACTTTCAGTATTTTTTCTATCAGGAAACAAACTTTAAGTTGAGTTTGTTCTTGTACACTAACGTTTATATCAGAAATTTATGCATAAGGCATTTTTTAGTGTGAGAAGTAACACGCACTTAAGTTTCGAATTCATGAGGATATACATATGAAGTTTTATAGAGCAAATTTATGAATCCTGCCAGAAAAACAATCCAACCAAATATACCTCAAATCTCTTATATGGGTAGGACAAAATTATGCCACTAGTCGCTTCGATGAGCTGATACTGATTCACTTGCACCTGCTATGCTAAGCATACAAGCCCTGTACAAAAATAATGTCTAACACTGAAGCCAACAATTTCTAACATGGCTCAGTAAGAATAAACAGGAGAAAAACAACAAGTTTATCGTAAAGCATTTAGTTGACGGTTGCGATACTTTAAAAAATTCATTTTTTTAGTGATCTAAATAAAACAGTACAATCTTCTAATATGTGTGAAGAACAATCTATTTTGCATTGATGATGCTTAGGAAGTCAAAACTGGAATTGTGTATTCACAAGCAGCTTCTCCACTCAGTTGTGAACATTTCAATGCTTACACACTTCTCATCTTTTGTTTTCTATTACATTATTACATGAATGGTTAATGCAGAAGTTCATTTTCAAATTCCTTCCTGTCTGATAACCACTTACTCATTGCATTATGCATTCTTAACTTCTTGGCTTCAAGTCATACTTACTTCACCACGGTTACTATTTTCAACTATTTTACAGCCAATAAGTTTTAACCTTTTCTCCAAAATAATCTTTGACTGTAGACTAGTAAATATACTGCTCTTCTTAGCGTTTTTACTCCACAACGTGTATCCTTACCTGTTTGATGTGACCAAAACTTACACTTAGGTAGGGTAGTGAGTAATTCATTACTGGTGCATATTGATATAAAACTGGTCACGCGTCATGTAATAACAATACAACCAGTGTATTACAAACTATTTCAGTGCAAAACAAAAGTAATTCAAAACAAATCCAACTTTAAACGAATAACCCAACTACTAGATGTCTATCATACAACTTCTATAACCCTTTAGGTTATTTCAACTGCTTTGTACAGAAATCTTTAAGCAGGAATTTAACAGACTAAAAATGCTGTTACTTCTTACAGAAAAGTGGTCTACATAACCAACAATTCCTGAAAACATGTAACAATGATGACAGATACGTTAGTACGCCACACGGTAGGTTAGTCCTATGTAGTAAAAACGAATGGCTTCTCAGACAGAGACAGGCTAAATTACAGATACTAACAATCAGTACAACATGTCGTCATAATCAGAATTAAATCTTACTTCGGATAGCAGATCAACATTACTAGTACGAACTAGGCACCCGACTTTCAAGAAATATGTGAAGTGCTGAAAATCCTTCTCAGTTTATTTCAACCTAAGCAACCAGATAGTTTCACAAATCTATACACACTAAGTATGACTTCAAAGGCAGTACATAGACTTTTGCCACAATATGGATTTTAGGTGTTATCATTAATCTTTCAGACATTTTTAAAGAGTGGGATGTGACAGCTTTCATAACCGCAACCCATACCACAACTAGGAAGCATAAGTCTATACTTTTATTATGCATGAAGCACAAATGTACACTGTTTTCAAGGTGTCAGTGGACTTCTTAAGCGTATCCTCCTCAAATAAGCAATTTTTGACTCCTCTTCCAAACAAATCGATTGCCTATACGATACCAAGAGACGATTTTTGGCCTGAAGTACATACAGTTGACGGAAACATTCTGAATACTATTAATCTGCTCTACAAAGGGTCTGATGCTCGATCGTTTGTTGTCGATAGCTTTGGTGGACCAATGTAGCCTGTAATAATTGTGACACACTTCTTGACACGCATATTCTACATCAGTTGTGCTCAAAATAAAGTACAAAACAAACAGCCTGGGGAAATTCTTGGTCACAGCTTTTCTTCTCGAATAGACTATGCAGTACAAACATAAGGTTTCGTCGGGCTCACAGAAGTTCTGCAAATATTTTTGTACGAGAGATTTACAAGGACTAAATAGATAAACAGACAAAACCAAAGTAGAACCTCTCACAGAAAGAAGTGTATTGTTTCAAGTTGACAGAAGGTAAAGAACAAGTGAATAGGAAAATAGTAGTAATATTAAAGTAAACGGATGTGCAGGAGAGAAGGAGTTCGAAAATGGTTAAACTTCACAGGATGTCAAGAAGTGAATACACCTGCGTTACTGTGGTTAATTTTCTATGATGTCAACAAGGGTCTCCAATCACCGATTCCTACTGTACACACTTTCTGTTAGGATAGAATGCGAGAAGACTGGAAAATGCAAGCAAATCACGAAAATTCCGTTTATGGATGAAATTTTTGCCATAGCTGAAGGATATTCAGGTCACCACTTCCATAGTCTTGTATGAACACCTAACACTTATCTAAAACTCACCACGAATGTAGTCAGTCTTTAGGCCACCCCGTTTTATTCCCAATTACATAAATCGAAATATCAATTCCGGAATCAGTCCGAAACACTAGCAGCTCTTACACACTTAGGTGACGAGTTGCAATCACTTGAGCATACTAATGTCATCAAGATCAGGTAATGATTACGTTTACGAAACTATAACAAGAATACGAAAAAGCATCCCTGATGAATTGAAAAAAAACGAGCGATACTTTCCAACGCCATAATTAGGTATATTTTTCAACTAACTCTCTCGTTGTCAGAACGTTGAAAGTTATAAACTTCAATGATATGCATACTTTTAACGCAGCTGAAATAGGCATTGTAAATGAGGACAACCCTAGCGAATCAACCATTTTTTTAACTCAAAATTAAAAAAAACTACCAAACGCCGTGTTTTAGAGTGAAACAAAGACAATAGCAATATAAATTTTAGATTAAAGATGCTAATTAACGCAGCGAACACCAAAATCAGCGTTTTACAGTACTGTATGCAGTCCTACTAAGCTGTACACCTGTGGTTCATTTGAGTAGATTCCCAACCACTAACTGTAGAACAAGGGCTATGAGACATAAGGAATTGTCCTGGCCTCAAAATTGGGATAGCATCACAATTCTAAATATAAAGGATGGGATTGAAAGTGAATTACGTGGACAATGCCTGATACCTCAATTATACCCTCACAGTAGCTTAACAAGCACAATTTTATGCACTATCTACCCCTATGAAAAGTCGAAACTCATTTGCGCTACCAGTAGGAAACAAAGTTTCTCCTAGACTTTTTTGAATAAATATGTTAACAGTGACACCCAATAAAGGACATATGCTTTTACTTGATGTTTCCGATAACCACTCTGCATAAAATTAGAGTAATGAGTTTTGTCTTGAATGATAAAGTGTTACAAAAAACCGGTCAGTAAGCTGTTGTCTCAGCATTTTTTGTGGTTAAAAAACTGTTTTTAATAGGCAGACAAAAAATCAACGTAGATACTGGTACAGAAGTGGATCATACTCGTTTTCAAAATATCAAAGGATTCCGAAATCGAGCGGATATGAAAAGAATCTCATTAAAGTGAATAAAAAGCATGAGAGAAGAAACAAGCACATATATGTTAGTGAAAATGTTCACATTTTGGAAGCTGATAAAAAAACGTACATCTGCAACACTGTAGTCGATTGTGAACAATATCGCAAAGACTCATGAGAGATGGATTCCTGACATCTAAAGGAATTTTATCCATACATCCAACATCTCCCCATAACGCCCAAGGTAACAGTTAGAAACTTTATGGATTGGCGCAATGTTTTGGTATGCTTATCCTTAGCTTTTGTTGACCAAACTCTGTTTTTCCTAACTTTAGGTCTTTACGCAGTTCAGAACGTTAATTTGGTACCCCGCTAGCATACTACATTCGATATAATCGAAATATTAATATCTCTCAAACCTCCACTATACAAAAACCTAGATATGGGTGCATTTACTTCTTGTAACTCTTTCGGTTATTATTAGGAAACAGGGATTCTTATTGTGATTACAGCCTGAATTACAAGGCCTGATAAATACGGCTTTGCAGCATGAAGTATTGAATTCATGACTAGGAATAGAACACAGATAACCACAATTGTGTCAAGTTAAAATGTTTCGACCGGTGTACATCCATTTATTCTGTTGTTAATTCCACTCGAGTTGCTAACACAACTTCAAGGCTTCCATAGATTATCATACCAGTTACTCGACATGTCTAAGAATATCTTCAATTGCTCATTTATTGACTATACTACCTCGACATTACAGAAATGTAACGATGAATATAACTCAACGATGCAGCAGTATTCTATATAGCTGTACTTAATACTGGTAAGCTGATTGAAAACGTCGAAAATAAACCCTATTTATCCTTGACACTCAACCAACTCTCACAGGTTTTG